GCAGGGCTGCAGCCTACGCTGTCGCTGGCAACTCACGGCAGCCCAGCTCCAGGTCAAACTGTTGTTCACCATCTTAGCTGTAGAGGGCAGTGTCACTGGCCCTCATGTGGGAGCTGCACCAGGGCCCTGCTGCTCAGACCTGGTGTCCCAAGCCAGCTCTTAACCAATGTGCCACTTGGCCGGCCCTTCCTTGCTTTTTTATTACTATTAATTTAGGGTTTAAGCTCATTATATATCAGCGGACCAAGAAGCTGAGCCAGTTCATCGTCGTTGCCTTTTTTAATAGCAGCTTTATCGAGAACATACACACACAGACAGTTCATCCATTTTAAAGTGTACAGTTCATTGCTTTCTAGTACGTGCACAGCATTGTGCAGCCATCTCCAGTTTCAGAACATTTCCACTTCCTCAAAAAGAAACCCCACTCTCATCAGCCGTCACCCCAGCCCTAAGTAACTGGGATCCCCCTCTTGTCTTCCTGTCTCTTGCTGTCCCCTCTGTCCTTACACGTTGCTCCTTATCCTTCTCCCAAATGGTGACCATGGCCCCCAGTTTTAGCCCCAATTCATCCTTGAGGAGACCGGGACCTCAGGAGCCATGTGAGCTTCCAATTTCATTTGTTCACGAATTGAATATTTCTATTGTTCTTTTAAACGAGGCCCATGACTTTGCCTCTGAAATCAGGGAGAAGGGGTTTTCTTGGCCTGAAATCTGATTTCTGTCTGGATCTGGATTACTTTCAGATTTTATGAAGAATTTCCAATTAACCAGAAGACTGGAGAAGCCAACCTGACCCAGATTTATTTACAGGTAATGGAAGCCTGAGCTGGACAGGCTTTATGGTGGGGGAAAGTCAGCCTTCAGGCAGAGGCAGATGGTGTGTTCTTCTCCTCAGGAAGCCCTGGATTTCATTAAGAGGCAGCAGGCAGCTCAGCGCCCCTTCTTTCTCTACTGGGCCATCGATGCCACACATGCACCTGTTTATGCTTCTAAGCCTTTCTTGGGCACCAGTCAGCGAGGGCGGTGAGTCCTTGGTCGTAGAGATGTAGACCCCTACCTGGAGGGGTGAGGGGGAGTTCAGCTGTGCTTGATTACCTCCAGGGACAGGG